TGCTAATCTTTTCTCTGTTTCTCTATCCTTTTGGGATGTGGGGCACACATGCACAGAAGCCCAGCTGGTTTTAAAAGCTACCAGAGCCAGGATTTAAACTGTCCATGTGGGATCTGGTACTCTTAACCACCAGACTATGGGGATGGCCCTGTTTCTTCTTTAATGGTGTGTGTGTGTGTGTGTGTGTGTGTGTGTGTGTGCACGTGCGTGTATGTGTGTGTGTGTGTGTGTAGGCTTTTTGACAGTCGATTCAAATTTAAATTATATAGGGCTGTTCAAGTTATTTATTCCTTCTTGAATGAGCTTTCACAGCTTGTGTCTCTTAAGGAATCCATTTCATTTAAGTTAATTTATATAAAGTTATCATATTCACTTATTTTTAAATATGTGTCCATTGTTTTATAGTGACTATTCTTGATTTGTGACATTTCTTTTTTCAGTTTGGGCAGAGGCTTGTAAATTTAACTGATCTTTTCAAAGAACCAGTTTTTGGGCTCAGTGATTTTCTCTATTTAAAAAATGTATTTATTCTTCTGAGAGACAAAGATAGAAAGTCAGGCAGGCAACTCTAACAGGGTCTTTATGTCGTAAATCACCCCTGGCCTCAGCCAGCCTGAATCATGGGCACATGTGCACCTGATGTGCATACAGTCAGACCTTTCCATGGAGGTCCAGAATGTTGCATCATCAACTGTGCTTCCACATGGCCCTTGATTTTCTCTTTTCCATATTTTCTATTTATTGTCTTTGTTATTTTCTTCCTTATTTACTTTTACTTACTTACTGTTTTATTGACTTTATTCGTCTTTTCCTAGTTTCCTCATATAAAATACAGAGTATTGCCTTTAGATCTTTCTTTTTTTCAACTTTGCTATACGGTGCATGCACTTGCCATGGAGACAGAGAGAGAGAGAGAAGTCACCTCCCACAGGGGATGGCCCCGCCATAATCCCTTCTCACTCATTCTTCTTTTGGGATTTTGGTCACACATATACACACACACATACCTAGTATGATTTTTCAGCCTTTGGTCTGAGACTTGAACTGTGCAGTCAGCCACATAGGACCCAGCCACTTTAACCTCTGCACTGACCCCAGTTTTTAATTGAAACATTTAAAAGCTAGAGAATTTCCCCTAACCACGGCTATAGCTTCATCTTACACATTTTTATGTTATGTCTTCATTTTAACTCATTCAAAATATTTTAATATACCTTATGAGTTTTTCTTTGACCCATAGGTTATTTAGAAGAATGTTGCTTAACTTTTAAATACTTGAAGATTTTCCAGATTTTTTCTGTTGTTCGTATCCAATTTAATTCTGTTAAGAGTCAAAAAACCTACTTTGCATGATTTCAAAACTTTTACATGTGTTTAGGTCTGTTTTACTACCCAGACTGTGTTTTTTTCTTGGTTAATGCCCTATGTGTACTTAAAAAGAATGTGCGGGCCAGCAGGTGGCATGGTGGTTGGCGGTGCTGGACTCCTACATGGCCAATCATGGTTCGAGCCCTGGACCTGGTGGCTTGCTTTCTCACTTTCCTCTCTCTCTCTCTCTCTCTCTCTCTCTCT